AGATTATCGTGCCACTAAACTGCGCGAGAAGTTTTCCTGGGGCTCAAATGTGGAGGATTTGAGTGCGCAACACTTCGACGCTGCTGTCGCACTTAAGCCTCCTATTAGCACGACTCGCACTACAGAACTGCGTTCATCTGGTACCGAAGAATTTTGCTTTCGCTGGAACTTTAGTCCTGGTGGTTGCCCCAACCCTCAGTCGTGCAGGTATAAGCATGTTTGCATTCATTGTTCACAGTCCTCTCACAAAGGCAAAGCCTGCACTGGGGCTCCCACTGGGGCTAGTCCCAATAACAACAAGAAATGAACGTTTCGCTCTGACTGTGCCCCGTTTACGGCCTCCTTCGATGCTTCTATTTTCACCCTGCCTGAGGAATGTCCCCTGAATTTCCACCCTTGGCAAAGAGAACTCTCTTTTGATTTCGACAAAGATTTTATTCTCGATGGTCTTCAAAATGGTTTCAAGCTAATTAAATAGCCAGATGTTTCAGGCATTGCTGGCTATGACGCAGTGAATTATACTAGTGCTACCTGCGATGAGTTCAAACCTGAACTGGACGAGTTACTTGCTAAGGAACTTGGTCTCGGGCGAATCTCTCGCGTTTTAGTTAAGCCCAAGTGTATTCATGCCATCGGTCGTGTCCCTAAAAAAAGATTCCGGAAAATCCCGCCCTATTACTGACTGCAGTCGTCCACGGGGAAACTCCCTTAATGATTACATTAAACGTACTTTAGACTCATTTCGCATGAACTCTGTCGACACCGCTGTGTCTCATTCATCCAGAGCCTGCTATTATGCTGTAGTTGACATTGAATCTGCTTAGCGCTGGGTTCCTGTCTTTCCTCCTCACCGACAGCTGCAAGGTTTTCGCTGGATATTTGGTGTACTGGACTCATCTAAATACGAATATTTTATTGACAATCGTCTTTGCTTTGGCCTTCCGTGCGCTCCGTCGATTTTGGCTTAGGCATTCGTCACATCGTTGTCGCCTTAATTTTCAGTTTCGCGCGGACATTAAATGGTGGCAACAGTTCCTCTATACCTTTAATGGTTGAAGTATGATGCTCGATTTTCGGCATCCTGTCGTTTTTCAGACCGACGCATCTTTTCTCGGTTATGGGGCCGTTTGTTCCTATGTTTGGTTTGCGGGGGTTTGGGCCACCAGTTTCCTTGTAGACTACAATACGTCGTTATATCCTCACAACTGGTGTACAGCTGGTCACACCATTCCCTTCGTGCCAATATTAACTTTTTAGAGTTATTCCCAGTCCTTCACGCCGCTTGTCGCTGGGGTCCCCGCTGGTCAAACAAACGTGTTTGTGTTGAGACAGATAACACTCAAGCGATGACATTTATCAACAAAGGATATTGCAAAAACCCG